AAAAAATTCTGATTAATTTATCGTACTTTTTATCACTAGAAATTTTTACCCCCAAAATTTCGTATTTATGTAATTTTATGGCGCAAATAAAAACTTTGCCAGAAATAAATCTCAATTTGTTTAATGTTATATATTTTACAAATATAATTGTAAATATATTTTAGGGAGATAGATTTGGAGGAGCGCTAGACGGTGCCGCCAACATGTTCACAGAGGCATTCGACTCTAATCTAATCCCCATGGAGTTCGTGAACAAAACTAGGAAGGAAGGACGTCTCATCATGGGTATTGGCCACAGAGTCAAATCCATCAACAATCCGGACAAGAGGGTGACCTTAGTTAAGGAGTTCTCTAAGGAGAACTTCCCGAAGACCACCCTGTTGGACTACGCCCTGGAGGTTGAGAAGATTACTACGAGTAAGAAACCTAATCTTATTCTCAACGTTGACGGTTGTATTGCTGTGTGCTTTGTAGATCTACTGAGACACAGGTGAACAATTATTTAAGATATTTCGAAAAAATAAACTTGTATTTTACAACCGTTTGTTTCAGTGGATGTTTCACCAAGGATGAAGCTGAAACTTACATAAAGACAGGTTCTCTGAATGGAATGTTCGTACTGGGACGAAGCATCGGATTCATTGGTAACATTTAGTTTCATCCCCTTTAAGTAACATTCTGGTATGGCTAATCGTTGAACAGTTACATTCTTTCTACTTTAGGCTCAAAACCTAATACATTTTAATCTTTAAAAAGTAACATTTCCTGTCTCGATTTATCTTAAAACAGTATCTTTATGCGAGTCAGAGCCTATTTTACAGTAACATTATTTCCGTGTTTATTTCAAAAACTTAAGCAGACTGTCTCAATTGTATCTTCAAACAATATAACATTCTGTCAGTAGCATTTTGTCTAGTTGTATCCCCAAACACAAACATTCTGTCCAGTTGTATCCTTAAACACAATCATTCTGTGTAGTTGTATCATTAAACACGAACATTTTGTCTAGTTTTATCCTCAAGCACAAACATTCTGTCTAGTTGTATCCTTAAACACAAACATTCTGTCTAGTTGTATCCTCAAACACAAACATTCTGTCTAGTTGTATCCTTAAACACAACCATTCTTTCTAGTTGTATCCTTAAACACAAACATTCTTTATAGTTGTATCCTTAAACACAATCATTCTGTCTAGTTGTATCCTTAAACACAAACATTCTGTCTAGTTGTATCCTTAAACATAAACATTCTGTCTAGTTGTACCCTTAAACACAAACATTTTGTCTAGTTGTATCCTCAAACAGAAACATTCTTTCTGTTTGTATCCTTAAACACAAACATTCTGTCTAGCTGTATCCTTAAACACAAACATTCTGTCTAGCTGTATCCTTAAACACTAAAATCATGTCTAGTTGTATCCTTAAAAACAAACACTCTTTCTAGTTTTATCCTTAAACACAGACATTCTGTCTAGTTGTATCCTTAAGCAAAAACATTCTGTCTAGTTGTATCCTTAAACAAATATTCTGTCTTGTTGTATTCTCAAACACAAATATTTTTTCTAGTTGTATCCTTAAACACAAACATTCTGTCTTGTTGTATCCTTAAGCACAAACATTCTGCCTTGCTGTATCCTTAAACACAAACATTCTGTCTTGTTGTATCCTTAAAAACAAACATCCTTTCTAGTTGTATCCTTAAACACAGACATTCTGTCTAGCTGTATCCTTGAACATAAACATTCTGTCTAGTTGTATCCTTAAACACAAACATTCTGTCTAGTTGTATCCTTAAACACAAACATTCTTTCTAGTTGTATCCTTAAACACTAACATTCTTTCTAGTTGTATCCTTAAACACAAACATTCTGTCTAGTTGAATCCTTAAATACAAACATTCTGACTAGCTCTATCCAAAACATAAATAGGCGCCGTGACAAACTCCTGAAAGACAAACTCCATAATATCAAATTTAAAAAAATGTTTCACAATTTATATTTAATCTAGCCGCAGCGCTCGGCCCAGAAAGTGTCATAACTTAACCTAACCCATGGCCGCAGCGCTCGGCCCCC